GCGCGCTCCCAACAGTTACCCACCGCTTCCACGCCCAACTCCGCTAGTATTTTTTTTCTTGCTGCAGTGGGTGTCGAGGGAGAGAGAGGTGGATGGGTGCATGGCAAGTCTGCTTCGCTGTACACAAATTCTCGCCTGAGGCGGACAGTTGGCTACAAATGTAGGCTGAAGGGGTGAGGCGTTTGTGAATTGATGGCTACCGCGACGCGTTGAGTGAAGTGGGGGTAGATATTAGTTTTCCATCATAACGGGGTTGCTATATATGTATCCATTGCCGTGGCCGCCAGAGTTACACGATAGGCATCTATGCGAAACGAAAAGTGGACTCTAGACAGTGCATCGGAGGCAAATATCCCGTTCTACAGTAAGGACATATCATTAAATACCACTTATATGTGAGGCTAGCTATTCTGGTGCGCTGCAGATTCCTTTCTAATCTGGTAATGTGGCACTTTGCAGCATAAAGGATTTATCCACCTCACATTTTCGCTGAGTTTGTAGAAAGTATCTGATTGGAGATTTGTCTATTAAGCTGATCGGCACCTGACGACCCTTAGTTCATTGAAAAGTCGATTTGGTTGCAGCAACTAGGCAAAATTTGGGACACAACTGATTGTTCACAAATGAATGAGAACGTTCGCGTCCTAGAATTTTGTATGGGTAGAGGCAAATGCTTTCGTGGGTACTAAAGCAATTGGTTTATTGTCCTGAGCTTTCAAAATCTTGCAGGCGTTCGCCGTCAGAGGTAAGAACAGTAACAAAAAGGGGTATGTGCAAATTAATTTTCAGTGAAGCACGTCTGGAGGTGATTGCGCAGGCCTCCGTAAGTTGACGCCAAATCGATATATCAATTGATTAAGCTCCCATCCAGAAACAAGACGGGCCGTGAATTGATTGAAGTCTGGCCCATGGATGAGAACTCAGTCAATCGATGTGTCGATTTGGTGTACAGAGCCCCGTGCACTGACACGTGATTGGCGCATACCCCCTATGATTGCTTTCATATTTTTTATTGCTCTTACCTGTGACGATCAACTCCTGTAAGAGTTCGAAAGCTCGGGACAATAAACCAATTGTGTTGGTACTCGAAAAGCCTTTCCCTTTACCCACAATGCATCCGGAATTAATACATACAGTGCTCCTCAAAAAACACATGCAACAATTCCGTGGTGTCTTAAACTGAAAAAGGCAAAACTTCCCTTGTCTGTCTTTGCCTTACGCCATTATGGGGTCAGGATATGATACGCACTACGACCTCAGGCCCTGCCAAGCCTTTTACTACATCCCCCAATTTACTGCTCTTGCCAGCG